TTATAATAGGGATCCTACTACTATGTCTCTCTATTTTCGAGGGAAACCTAAACCCTAAACCCTAAACCCTGTTCCTCTATTTCAAGAAAACCCTAAACCGTAAACCCTGTTCCTCGGGCTTTCTAGGGAAGTTAGGAGTCGATCCTGCTTCGCTGATGGGCTTTTGCGTAGGTTCGGAGCCCCAAAGCCACCGAGCCCTGAACCTGTCTGGGAGTTTCAGGAAGTAAGGGCCCAGTTAGACACCGTAAAGTGTAAGGGTTTCGGGTTTAGGGTTTGTCTCGAAAGCTTGCCTTCGGGTCTTGGGGTTTTGGGTTTCGGGTTTTGGGGTTTCGGTTCTCGGGTTGTGGAGTCTTGGGTTTTGGGCTTTGAGTTTGTAGTTTTGGGGTTCAGGGTTCTAGGGTTTAGGGTTTAGGGCTGGTTTTCCGACCGGAAGCAAAAGGGTGTGGATGGTAAGAACTTGCAATGCTACCCTTATAAGGGCTACTTAAAGCCGTCATAGCACCACGCTCCTCAAACCCCTAAGCCTTACCAAGGACTATGGGATCTAGTAACTAGGATTAGACATACTATAACGATGGCCTCTAAGGACTTATAGCCGCAGTGAAGGGTTCCCATGCCACTTAATGACAAGGCCCCTTAAACCTTAAAACCCGATATAAAAAAAAAAGCTGGTAGAAACCCTGAAGCGACGCTTGGTCGCCAAGTCCCCCGCTCCTCCAAGTAGGGCTCTCACAAAGCAAACTCTGCACCGACACCTTCGGCTGGGATTTGCAGCCGTTACTCGTCAAGAGGCCTCGCTTTACGTAGTCATGCTACGAGTCCCTTCATTGAGGCTGGACGTAGTAAGTTGCTACCTCATATTCGACACCCCAGTTAGTAAGTCTAATGATCCTTGAAGCCCTTGGGTGAGAAGTCAGGAGAAAGAACGTACGTGGGTTTTTCTTCACGAAATCTTATCGCCGGTATATGCCGAATGGGGCTTCTTCCTGCAAGTCCGAAAAACCCTGACCTTAGACCCTAAATCAGTCTGGGGCCAGACGACCGACTGGCACTAGACAGCGCCACACGCCTGACTTGGGCAACTTCACCCCGCCAACGTCCTAAGCCCTAAACCATAAATCCTAAACCTTAAACCCTAAAAGGGCGTGTTTCAACTTAAAAAGAAACCTAACCGGTAACCACCAAAGCCTCTTTCAGGAACTCGGTACATAGATTCAGATCAGCTGCTGCTGTCTCGGGGGCAGATCCAAAACCTTGAGCTACCTTCGCAACTCTGTACTGTAGAGGCATGTTTAATTACCAGTGTTAGAACTGAAGGTTTCTACTATAATGTATAACTTGAGTCTATTTTCCCACGAAGCCCCACTCTATATTTATTCAGGCCGCACTACACATCCCACAACGCCCACCTTGCGGCCAATAGCCCAGGCCATTATGGCAGGGCATGGTACCCTAAACCCTCAAACATAAACCCTGAACGTTAACCCCTAACCCTAAACCCAAACCCTACACCCTAGAAAAAGCCCGGATGTCGCTGGAAGCATTGCAGCAGACCGGACCGAAACATGCGACGGTGGAGCGCAAGTACATCTGGAAGCAGATTCTGGGCTCTTGTTAGGGAATTGTTTCTGTTTCGTTTAGGATATCGGGATTTAGGGATTTGGGTTTTGGTGTTTAGGGACACAAAGGAAATAAAGCAAAATCGTGGTAGCAGCTAGTGCCCTTTGCAAGAATGCAGGATGCTTTCCATGCTTGACCCTTTCACGATTGCCGCTGCCAGTATCCTGAGCCATCGCGTGCGCACATGGTGTGTTTCGAAGGATGGATTGCTGAAGGTCCCTTACCTGATTCTGAATTATGCAGCTTCGCATGCAGACATGCGTGTGATCCACGCGCTGCCTGCCATTGAGAAGGGGGAGTTGGTCGAGTTTGAGCTTTGGAATAATGGATGTGACAATGTTTGGGGCAACGATGAAATCCATCTGCGGGAAACGGACGAGCCTACGAGTCATGAGCATTTCAGCGTGTGTTTGGGCTGGCTCTTGGGTGCCTTTCCGAAGCTCCGACGGGTGGCCATCATCGGATTGCGAAACAGGCTCCAGCTGGTACCTTTGTTGAGAAGCTTCCGTCGCTGCCCCGCCCTGGAGGAGATTTCCCTGCAGGACGCAGACTTCGAAGACGTGGCAGCTTTGCTGTTCTTGAGAAATGATGTTGAATCTCAGCCCAGAGTAATCCTAAAACTCTCTAAACCCCCAAACCTAAACCCTAAACCCTAATAAACGCTTAGAAGGAACACGCCTTTCAGCTTCTGAAGCGCCCTCCAAGAGCTGTTGAGGCAATGTGCGCAGCTTTCGAGGTGGTGCAGGCACTGCCTTCCTTCAGAGGTCTCTGCATCCTCCATCTTGCAGTCAGGCACCTGCTTAAACGTTGCCTGTTTTTTTTTGTTGTTTTTATTTTTTTGTTGTCGTCATGTTGCTGTGCTTCTTGATGTTCTTTTCTGTTCTTGTTGTTCTGCGTAGTATATAGGATGATTAAGACTACTATCTCGTCTTGAGCAGCTCAAAAATGCCCAGAGTTTGGGTGGTCCGAGGCTTTGGCCCGATGTCAAGCAGGGGAACCCTCAACCCCCAAACCCTACAGGTTTAGGGTTTACCTTAAGAACCCCAAACCTACTGTTTTGTCGGGTCCCTATAAATCCCATATTAGGGGTTATAATAAGAACCTACAAATAAGTGGGTTTGGGGTTCTTAAGGTAGGGGTTTAGGAGTTTGGGGTTTAGGGTTTAGCCTGACTGAGGCCGGCTTGTGATGGTGGCGATATTGATCCGGAGTCTCCGACGCTGACAGCCCTTGCTGCATGCTCCGTGTCCCTCCCATCACTGCACACGCTTTGCGCCTGGGCCCTGGAAAAAGACACCTGATTAAGAAGCCTTGTGCGTTTATTAGGGTTCCGAATAATATGCATCCTGCTACTTGGGGTTATTTTTTACACGGGGGTCTTAATCAGGTACCTACAATACTGCGATGGTTGCATTGACTGCGTAAGGGTTCTGGCAGCCAGACCTGCACGCTAAACCCCTATAGCAACCCTGAGAAGGATCCCCTATAGTAACATGTAGTAACCCGTTGAAGGAGCCCTTACAGTAATACTAGCATGTAGTAACCCCTACAGTGGCCCTTTTGAAAGTGTCAGTCTGGACAGAGGCTTGTGCCTGAGCTCTCGGGAAGCCGCACGGCCAGGCTTTGTCACGGCACTGCAGAGATGTATCGATGTCTTTCCCCTGCGCCAGCTCAGTTTGGCAGGAGACAGGCGCCTATGCTCGCAGCCCGAAGTTGGTTGCTTCTTTTTAACGGGCTCTTCCCTGAACCAGCGATCCCCACACCCTAAACCCTACGTCCTAAACCCTAAACCCTAAACCCTGAACGAACCCTGGGCTGAGGTACTTATCCGAGAGGCTTTCAGCAGTTACATTGCCCTTCAAGTGCCGCCTGCTCTCGCTGACTCTTAGGAGCCCAAGAGGTAAACTTTAACCTTTTTTTGGTATAGTAAGCCCCTACTAAAAGAAAAGTTTACACTTTTTTTGGCCAGGGTACTGGGCAGCTAAGGACGGTTCCGCTGGATGGGCGAAGCTTGTCGATGCTCGCGACATCCGTCTGCCAGAACCAGGCTCGACTTAAAGCAGTCCTTTTGGAAGTAGTCTTGCCACAAACCTCAGAAGTAAGGGATCAACCTTCAACCCAAAGCCCTGAAGGGTAGCTTTCCTAGGATCCTCAAGAACAAGCCAGGTGGAAGGCTTGACTCTTCTGTCTCCAGCTGAAGGTCTCGAACCCGCTGATCTTCGAGAGTTCCTTACAATCCTCGCAACCGCAACGTTACAGTCCTTCACATGGAGTTTCTGTGGTCTTTTTGTCTCCGCCCTCCAAAGTGAGGCCCGCATCGCCCTGAGTGAGGGTCTTGGCCATCTGATCTCGACCTGCCCATCTCTCAAGAAGCTGATTGTCTTCCATGACGAAAGATATCTGGATCAGTGTCCCTGGCCAGAGCTGGCCGACATAACGAACATGGCGACCCAGCACGGCGTCTGCTTCCAAAGTCCGCAGGCGCAGCTGCGGAAGCATGTGAGGCTCAGGCAGGTGTGGCTGAGACCTTGCGTCGGACCCTGTCTTTGAGCCTCTAAACCCTAAACCCTAAACCACACCTTCGAGCTATTGACAGAGTCCCATGCATGGGATGCTCCAAAGAAGGGCATCATGATGCTGTACAGAGTAGAAGTCTTGCCGCCACAATGCAAAAGATCTTCACAAAGCCAAAGACGGCAAGTTCTAGTATAGGGGCCTCAATAATTTCCTACATTATTTTGGGGGTTCCCTATTATAACTAGAGTATAATGGCCCCCAAAACCCTATTCTAATTATTACGGCCCCTACATTACCTTTTTTCAGAAGAGGAGCAGACATCGTCATGGAGATGTACCAGAAGGGCGAGCTCGAGCAGGCTATTGGGTGCAGGGTTTTAGGGTTTAGGGTTTAGGGTTTAGAGTTTAGGGTTTAGGGGTTTAGGGGTTTGGGGTATAGGGGTTTAGGGTGCAGGGTTTTGGCTTCTCCTCTTCCCCACTCACTGCCTTTATTTCGGGGCAACTCCCCGAACCCAGAGCCCTAGGCCCTAGACACTAAGGGTTTAGGGTTTTAGGGTTTAGGGTTTTATGGTCCTAAATGACACATGACCTGCGCATCGAGACCCAACCCCAGCGGAGGAAAAGTCAGTAGATAGTAGTGGCGCAAGCATCCTTTAGCCGCTTGATGGTCATATAGGGGTTCGGGTTTAGGGTTTAGGCCTTTGGGTTTAGGTTGTAGGGTTTAGGGTTATAGTATAGTCCCTATGTAAGCCGCTGGAACAATTGATTTATCCTTATTGGGCTTACGAGGATCTTATCTGCGAATGCTTTTGAGAGGCTTTAAAAAGGGCCAACCTAGAGCCTTATGTAGTCGGAAATCGAAAGCTTCACGCTGTGACCTGCTAGCAAAAGAGACCCGGGAGGCGATACAGCAACAGGATGGGTTTACTGTGGTTTCGGGTTTTCGGTTGTTTCGAGATTCAGACCATTCGTCTTTGAAGGCAGGCACCCGGATTTCGAACTGAGGGTGTCGGAGGACATACTGTGGGATTGAGGGCATGAAGGTTAAGGTTTAGCTGAAGTTTAGACTTCAGCCCTTGCACTTCCAGTGCCATGCAAGAGTGCTGTCCGGTCGCAGATGCTGGTCATGGCCAACGAGGGAGCTGGTGATAGTGCCGGGCTCAAGCGGGGCTGAAATCGGATGATATTCCAGGAGCTCGCTATACCTAGAGAATTTCTTATAGTTATCGTATGATATACCCCAAAACCCAATTCTAATTACGTTCATGGTTTGGGGGAGTAGAGGTCAAGGTTTTTTGGGGGATAGAGTGAAAGGCTGGGGTGCTGCAGCTCGCCGGGGTTCAGATACCGTTCTGCTGGAGTCGATAAATATCACATCCGAGACACTTCAGGGCTTTGAGTGTGGGACCCCGTCTCAGTCTAGGACATTTTCAGGTGGGTGGTTACCGTTATAGGAGCCGTATAGAAGGTCTATATACCTTATAGAAGCTTTATAGAAGCCCTATATACCCTAAACTCCCCACCTGACCCTAAACCCTAAACCCCAAACCCTAAACCCTAAAACCCTAAACCGTAAACCCTAAAACCCTAAACTCCCCACCTGTAGTTTCCTTTACCTGGAGTTGGAGGACCTTATCAGCCTCTGGA